GCCCTCTCTTCCATGGAACTTGACCCCTATATTGGGGTTAGGAGAATGCACAAGGGAAGGGTTAGGGTTAGAGAAACGAGGTGTCCTGGCATGGTTCTTATGGTTGGAAAGTGTTTGGCATGGGCAGAGCTGATGAGCTGTGCCGAAAAATGTACTGAACGACGGCTTTTTCAAATTCGCCCTTTCTTCCATAGAACTTGACCCCTATACTGGGGTTAGGGGAATGCACCAGGGTAGGGTTAGGTTCAGAGAAACAAGGTGTCCGGGCATATTTTTGAAGGTTGGAATGTTTTTGGCATGGGCAGAGATGATGAGCTGTGCAGAAAATCTACTCAAGGAGGGCTTTTTCTAATTCGCCCTCTCTTCCATGGAACTTGACCCCTACAGAAGGGTTACGGGAATGCACCAGGGTAGGGTTAGGGTCAGGGAAACGAGGTGTCCTGGCATGGTTCTGATGGTTGGAACGTGTTTGGCATGGGCAGAGCTGATGAGTTGTGCAGAAAAATCTACTCAAGGAGGGCTTTTTCAAAATCGCCCTCTCTTCCATGGAACTTGACCCCTGTAGAAGGGTTACGGGAATGCACCAGGGTAGGGTTAGGGTCAGGGAAACGAGGTGTCCTGGCATGGTTCTGATGGTTGGAATGTGTTTAGCATGGGCAGAGACGATGAGCTGTGCCGAAAAAGGCGCTCAACGAGGGCTTTTTCGAATTCGCTCTCTCTTCCATGGAACTTGACCCCTATAGTAGGTTTAGGGGAATGCACCAGGGTAGGGTTAGGGTTAGAGAAACGAGGCGTTCTGGCATGGTTCTGATGGTTGGAATGTGTTTAGCATGGGCAGAGATGATGAGCTGTGCAGAAAAAGCTGCTCAAGGAGGGGTTTTTCAAAATCGCCCTCTTTTCCATGGAACTTAAGCTCTATATTAGGGTTAGGGGAATGCACCAGGGTAGGGTTAGGGTTAGAGAAACAAGGTGTCCTGGCATATTTTTGGTGGTTGGAATGTGTTTAGCATGGGCAGAGCTGTTATGCTGTGCGGAAAAAGCTACTCAAGGCGGGCTTTTTCAAAATTGCCCTCTTTTCCATGGAAGCTGACCCCTACATTAGGGTTAGGGGAGTGCCCCAGGGAAGGGTTATGGTTAGAAAAACGAGGTGTCCCGGCCTGGTTCTGATGGTTGGAACGTGTTTAGTATGGGCAGAGATGATGAGCTGTGCAGAAAAAGGCGCTCAATGAGGGCTTTTTCGAATTCGCCCTCTCTTCCATGGAACTTGACCCCTATAGAAGGGTAGGGGAATGCACCAGGGTAGGGTTAGGGTTAGAGAAACGAGGTGTCCTAGCATGGGTCTGATGGTTGGAACGTGTTTAACATGTGCAGAGATGATGAGCTGTGCAGAAAAAGCTACTCAAGGAGGGCTTTTTCAAAATCGCCCTCTTTTCCATGGAACTTGACCCCAGGGTTAGGGGAGTGCCCCAGGGTAGGGTTAGGGATAGAGAAACGAGGTGTCCCGGCCAGTTTCTGATGGTTGGAACGTGTTTAGCATGGGCAGAGATGATGAGCTGTGCAGAAAACGCTACTCTAGGAGTGCTTTTTCAAAATCGCCCTCTTTTCCATGGAACTTGACCCCTATATTAGTGTTAGGGGAATGCACCAGGGTAGCGTTAGGACAGTGGTGGCGAACCTATGACATGCTTGCCATAGCGGGCAGTCACCCCAGCAGTCGAGTATTGGGTGACAGTGTGCTTGCGCACGCACACACACACAATGCTTGCACTGGCTGTGAGTTGTTTTTTCTAAACTAAAACCTCAGTTTTCAGGTTTTGTTGCAGTGTTGGGACTTTGCGACAAATAAGTGGGTTTTGGGTTGCCGTTTGGGCATTCGGTCTCTACAAGGTTGGCCGCCACTGGAGTAAACCATGCAAGCATTTGAGCCACCCTGCTTTGCCCAGCAAGTGGAAGGGCTGGCTTCCTGTGCCTGCTGCTCCAAGTCACCCATCATTCCCATCCAAAGGACAGGAAGAATGCTGGAGGGGAGTCTCTGCAGGAGGGGAGGATGGGCTTCGTGCTCGCCAAGTGTTCCCTCCGTGTTTTGCAGAGAAATGAGGCAGACGTGCGAGAAGAAACATGTCTGGCGCAATCGATCTAGCCCAAGTCCCCAGTTTTCCTCTTCAGATATTATGGAAAACGAGCAGGACTGGTGTGGGGAGTGAGACAGAGGGATCCAAACCGCCTGCTCAGCTTCCTGCATGGGATTTCCGGTCGCCTTAAGCACTTCGTTCGACACACGGCCAAGCCACCAGCTGCACTGCGCAATGGCAACCTCAGTTTGCGCCAGCTGGTTTTTGTTGCACCTTGGTGTAGAACACAGCAGCCCGAAGAGCTTTTGGCCACTGACGGGCGTCTCTGGCAATGCCATCAGCTTGCCCAAGCTGCCATCCATGTTATGATGCAAGCGTTACACACACAACCCCGAAGCCAAACGTAACACTCACCGGCAGGTTAATGGCGCAGTTGTGCTCACACAAGGCCTGCACAACTTCCGTGAAGCCTTTGTTGACCGCGATGTACAGGGCCGTGCACTTGGAGTTGTTCAAGAGGTCCGCGTTGGCGCCTTTGCTGACCAGCATGCGGGCGATCTCGGCTTGGTTCCTGGAGGGCAGAAGGTGGGAACACCAAAAGGAAACCCTTGTGAATCACAGACTTTCCCTCTGGTTGCCATAACTGACAAACTGTGTGCTACTCAAGGACCAAAGGACTCAGTGCAATTGCACACACTTTGGATCTGGTCAAGTCACGGGTTCAGTCACCAGAATCGCCCACCGTTCAGCACCAAAGTTCAACAAAAACCTATTTTCAAGCCCTGGTTTATTGGATCGTCCGAACCCAATCAAGATAACAAACCACGGTGAACAACCCATCGTTCACGACCCAGCAGCAAACAAAAGAGTCTCTTCATGGCTTCTTCCTGGTTAACAAGCCATGGCCTGCTAGTGCAGCGGGGTTCGGACAGCAGGAGAACCTGCCCTGCAGGTACGGCCCACACTCAACCCCTCATGTAGGGGTTCGCAGGCTGTCTGAACCCAGTCCTTGACTGGGGGCTGCTCTGCAGGGTTGCTCCTGAACCCTGGAGAAGCTGGGACTGTCGCCAAGTGAAGGCCCTGCCCCTGTGCTCCTGCGTCCAGGATCACGTACCCAAAAGCCGCGTAATGAAGGGCCGTGTCCCCTTCTTCGTCACGCAGGTTAATGTTGGCATGTGCCTGCAGCAAGATCTTGACCACTTCCACCTGGCCCAGGTAGCAGGCCACCTGCAAGGCTGTTCTGCCCTGGTTTTTGACATCTACCTGTTGAGAAAACCGAGTATCACTGAATCGGCCAGGTATCTCACATCCATAAATGTCATTTAACTAATGGTACATCCAATTAATTTGAGAATCCATGCCCTTTCTTGCAAGCTGAAATCGTCCTTTTTTGCTATGGTTTAATCTGTATCACTGGACTACAACTCCATCAACCCCAACCAGCAAGGTCAGGGATGATGGAACTACCCACATTAAAGATCCCTTGCATGTTTCAGCCCTAAAGGGAACCGTCTGGGGATCCTTGCAGCCCAAAGGTCAGATTTCAGCTTGGAGAAGCGTCTGGAGGCTGCATCCTAAGGGCAAGTGACGCCAAAAGCAGAAGTGAAATAGTTTCTTGGACCAAGAGAAGAAGAGAGCGGAGCAGCTTTTCAGCGGGGCTTTCCCACTTTCTACATGTTGAATGGTCTGCTCAGGCCTTTGCCAGCTGGCTGAAATTCCACAAGGCAGAATATAAATGCAAATAACCTTTCGAAAGCCTCTCTCCTCAGTCCCCTGGACTTGCCTTGTCTGGGTATTTCTGAACCAGGTCCCAGACTTTTGGGATGCTCCCATGTGCAGCTTCTACGACCAGGCGGCCAGGGTTGTCGGACTCCATCTTCTGGGAAAGCAGTCTTCCAAGCACGGACAGCAGCGTGCCTGTTGGGAGAAAACGGAGAACGGAAATGGATTCCGGGTGTCACCGCAGCACGCATCGGGGCCCGTTGAGGCGCTCTGTTTGAGCAGGGCAGCCAGGCAAGACTGGGACCGATCGTCCTATTTTGGGAATTTAGTGTGAGTTTCTGAGGCAGTGTCAGGGCTCCCTCTGCTGGCCAGAGCCAGAGTAGCAGCCTTGGTGTTTGCAGGACTAAAGCCCACGGTCAGCTGTGGCCACCTGGCTGTTGCGAGCACCACCTGGGAGCCCTGAGGGAGCCGCTCTGCAAGAACCGGCTCTTCCCTCCAGTTGATGCTTTGGCAATGAAGTTCTCGGATGCTGTTTGAGCTCCCTGCGCCTTCTGGAAGCTGCCTGTTGCCTTGCTTCTGGACCCTGCCTGGCTTCCCTGTCTACCTCCACTCCACTCCACTCCCAGGTACCGCTTCTCCTTGGCATGTCTCTCTGGCTTTTGACTTCTGACCAGCTTTGACTGCTCTCTGCTCTTCGGACTGGCCTACCTCACACTTCAGTTACTTGCCTCGGCCTCTGGGCTGCCTGACCATGATTTTGAACAGGTCTGTGTAGCATTCTGAGTGCCTGGATCCTGGTGCTCTGGCCTGAGACACAGCTGTCCATATCCCAGACAGTGCCAGTCCACTCCCAGCCCGGACCACATTGCTTGCTTGTGGTCCCATGGACTTTGGAGTCCATGCAATTGTGCAATGCACTGCTTATTCCGCACCTTTCATTCAACGCTTGGCTCTGCTCCTGAGCTCTTGCCCTTTCAGATTCCCAGTTTGTAGCCAGCTGCCCAAAGCTATAGTGCCTGTGTGCACAGACTTTCCATTTCCTCACCACCACTGAGCTGCAGAGCCCTTCATTCCCAGAGCTACCGGAATGTTGCTGAACATTCCATGCCGTCACACCAATTTAGCAATAGAGTGCAGAGGACGGGCTTCCATACATGCCCCTCACTTTTAGATTCTTTAGCGTCCTCAGTGGTCATTAGGTTGGCATCCTCCTCCCTCTGGTGCGCCGTCAGACAGGCAGGGTTGAAAGTCCAGGACTGGCCTGCGAAAGACACCCGCAAGTCTCCATCGCCAAACACTTTGATCACCTTGCCAACATGGCCCAGGATCTGCCGAAGGAAAGGGAGAATCACCTCAGAAGTGAGGGGGAGGATGAAATCGCCTTCTTTAATTCGGCCTGAAGGCAGACAAGGGTGAGCTGCCCCGCGGTGCTACAGTGTGAAACGTGAAGCGGCCGGCGGATGCCCTCTTTCAGGACACTCCATCCCATGTCCTCTCGCTTGTGCCCCCCTCAGAATCCTGGCCCACTGAGCATGTGCTGTCTTGCTTGGACGGGAGTTTGCAAAACTCAGCCCTCCTCAAGCCTCCCTCTCGCAGTGAATGGGTTTGGCAACATACGAATTTGGAAGGGGAATTTGTTCGCTATTAATATGCAGAATCCCAAGACAGAAAACCTTAACAGAAAAAAAAGCCCAGTACTGCAAAGGAAGCATCAAAATGCTCTTTCTCAGAAAACATGTGACATTGGATGGGCCCTGCTTCTTTTTTAATAGCCCATGACAGCAACTCAGGGGTGGAAGAGGCTGCAGAGCATGGATGCGTGAAGAGCAAAGTTACTCAGGCTGCATGCGCACAAGACAAGGACAGAACATGGCCAGTAAACCTGTCCAGAGGTCTAAAAAGTCTCACATCAGATTCCACAAATCAGAATATATTGGCACATAAATTCACGCACATGTCTCTGAAGGAGAACTCTGACTTTGGTTTTTTGATAAGGTTAAGAGATGGGAGAGGAGTTTGTAGAACTGACTTATCTAAGGTGGCAAAACTAAGAACGCTGTTACAGAACACAGTGGGATGAACTCCTGAATATACGAGGACAAGCCTGAATGGTAAATATTTTCCTTTTTTTCCACCCAGACGGCACCTCCTTGCTCTCAGGAATGTCGCAGTGATGTTTGCTCATTTCTTCTGTGTGGAGTAAATCAGACTTGAAAATTGCAAAACAGAAAAGCATCTTTCCCAGCATTCTCCTCTTTGTCCCCTGGCTTAGCTGTTTGCTTCCACGAAGGAGCTCGGACAAATGTCCAAGCTCGGACACAGTCTTTCTAAAGAGCCCTTTGGCTCTGTCTTAGCTGAGAGCGAGCTACTCCAGAGAGCAAAGGGTTCTGCCAAAAATCCTCCCTTGATATCTACCTTGCCCACAAGAGTCTTCTTGCATCTCCTTGCAAGTCAATCAGTGAATGGCCACCGTTGGCTGGGCTTCAAACATGAGCCCTGTTTCGCTTTGCTTTTAAGTTCGCTGCACGGCATTTAAATTCAAATTCACTCCAGAGGAAAAGAACAAAGGAAGCACAGATTCGAGGTCTTAAATTGGTGCACTGTCCCGAAATAAAACTGTAACTCACCGGGGTCATTTCGTCAGTCCATTCCCCATGGCCAGCTTGAAACTGTTTGACTCTTTCCACATCATCTATCACCCGGACCACGTCATCCACCCAAAACATGTTCAGCTATAAGAAAAAGAAAAGCAGAATCTTTTTGGGGGGTGCACGAAAGGGAAGAGATAGCAGAAAGGCAATTTGTTATCAGAACAGCTAAATTGATGAAGGGTTAACTTCTACGGGGAAGGAGTCATCAAAATGCCAGATGTGACTACTTTTAAAAATGATGAAAATTAGTGAACGCTCAAAATTTGGCGATCTGTCAGCATTTAATGTGAGTGCCAACCAACCTCCAATGGGTTTTGGTGTTGGCTTTGTTTCGTGAGAATGCCACGGAATTGACTGAACAATAAAATAGAATGTTTTGAAAAGAAAGGAACCGAAGCTGCTGGCTTACACCAGGTGAAACTATTTCTCTCTCTGGCTTTCCAGGGTGGTGCAGAAATTGGACCTTATCACCTGCAAAATGATCTTTTAGCCCGGGCATGATAGTGTTTGAATCTGAGAATTTCTGCACACAAAATAGATCTCCCACAGACAAATCCGCCAAGCTTCAATTCACTCAGGTTCCCATTTTCCCCTTATTAAATTTGGTCCCATCCTGTTTTCCATACCCGATTGCGAATCCTTTTTGTTCTGTGCAAAAATTCGCTTGTACTTTTGTGCCTCTTTTTCATCATGGGAAGATGTTTATTTCCACTTTTTTACTACACGCATTTCCTCCCAGTAAATTCAATTGTTTTTGTGTGCATTTTCTAAGATGTAAACATTTTTATGTGCTTTTTCAGATATATGCAGTTTTTATACATTTGCCTTGCAGTCTGCATTGCGAAATTTCCAGCAAGGATGGATGTTCAGGTCTGGTTCCTGCTTAGATGTGGAAAGTGTGGATTTGTTCTTTGCACTGAAATGCCTCACCCTTGAGCAATAGCCACTCCTCAATGTGGGAGCCCTCCTTGAAGGAGGGCCTTCTCTGTGGTGGCACCCTGATTGTGGAATGCACTCCCCAGAGAAGTTCGCCTGGCACCAACACTTTTTTCTTTCTGGTACCAGGCCAAACCCTTTTTTATTCTCCGGTTATCTGAATGTTTAACTGGCTGGACTGGGAGGACCAGACTAGGCACGTGGGCAGGTTCGACACTTCTGCTTTCGGACCCAGTGGATGAGCCGTGCACACCTTCGTCAGAGCACCAGGGTGAAACGTCCACCGTGTGTCGTTGCTGAACTGGACTCTCACGTCTCCTCTGTCTGTGATCCGGTGCACGGTTCCTGTTTGGCCAATGAACTTCCGAGGATGTGCAGGAGAGGAAGAGGAGGGGCGTGGAGCCGAGGGGATTCCAAGGGAAGCGGGCAAGGGGAGAGAAAAATGAAAGGCTGTCACTTGAAAGCAAGAAAAGGACACCCTGGCCTTCCCCTCTTCCCCACAGTGGCCACCCGGACGCTACAACCAACGGCATGCGCAGATGTGAGCCCCAGAAGGGTCTGTTTGTGTGAACAGGTTCCTTCCACTCTCCAGGTGCCTGCCTTGCTCCCCAGAGGGAACCTGGAGAATGTTGTTTTGGGAATATTGACAGTCAGGCCATGGATCTACCGCATCAGCAAGCACTGGATCCGGCTCCTACCTCGGCCATTTTTGGGTTCCAGCCCCCGTGTCCCTCTTGCATCTCTCGTAAGATGTCGATGTCCAGAAGGCACTTCACCTTGTCCCCGTGCTGGAACGGGTGTCTCTCCGTGCTCTCCTTTTTCTGCAGCTCAGCGGGTTTACCTGAGGAAGCGGGCAGGGAGGTAATGAATGTGGTTTGCTTTTTGGAAATATACAGATGTGAAAAAGTTTCGGTGCGAAACGGAGGGCTTTTGGGAAGGCGAGACGGATGACCAAGGAAACCCCCCTGGCAAAAGGCAGGATAGAAATGCAATCAGGCCTGAACAAACAGGGTGTTCGTTGGGTTGTTGTGAGGCTAAAATGAAGAGGAAAGGGTTTCTGTAAGCTGCTTTGGGTTTCATGAAGGAATACGGGGTATGATGTAACTACAATCAAGTTTGTCAGTTATCTGAGTCATCGGCAAAAAGCTCACTTTAGCTGACAGCAAAAGGGGAGAAAGAAAGGGAAGAAATGACTGCAGGCAATAACTTTCAGATTCTTCTCTCCCGCTAGCACGAAAGCTGCAAGATCCTGTTGTAGAGGCAGGGAAAACGACGCTTCTCCAGCTACCAAAAGGAGAAGGACCCCCCAGTTTCCGTTCTGGGAGGTGCTGCAGCCCAGCACGAAAACGCCAGCTTTGAATGCGGAAAAGCTCCAGTTCAATACTTCAGCGGGGAGAGCCCACTACCGTTCTGTTCCATTCGCTGTACGTCTTAGTCAGCGATCCAAAGCTAATGAGGATGGTCAGTCCTTAATCAGACGGTTGGGAGGGTCCCCAGTGAAGGCCTGTTTCTCCCACGTCGATAGGACAGGACATCCGAGTTGCAGGCGCTTTAAGGAGCCAAGCTTAAGCTCCTTAGGAGCTCTCCGTGGTGCTGAAACTATTTTGGGAGCGCTCCTCTGAAGCTGAGACCAAGACCTGAGCGAATTTACCACCCACCAGCATTACAGCCACTACGCTCACCTATTTTTCTCCCCCTAAGATCGTTCAGACATCTGTTCACTTCGGCTTCTCCCCCTTAGCGTTTTGGCTGCAAAAACTGTGGCCCTCAAGACTTTGCACAACGGAAATACGCTTTCCTTTGAGAATCCAAAAGTAGCATTTAAAAAAAGCAGATTCCGCAACCATCCCTGATTTAAGTTCCTCCCCCAAATTGCTCATTTGAAAAGCCCCATTGTAAACCATACCCAGGTGCAAGTTCTACTGCACGGAGTCGATGTGTACCTAATTTGGGGAGATGCTCCTTGTAGTAAAACCCCCCGGATGCTTCTGCAATGCACTTCAGGTCCACTTTTCCTTTGTGCCCGACTCGGTACACGTTCGTGGTGCCATCTGCCCACGTGACGCTGGCCACGCTCCTCCCGGTCTCCACATCCCAACCACGGATGTCGACCACTCTCCCAGTCTTGCCTTCACCACCTGTCATTGAGGAAGAGAAACAAGCTGTGGGAAGAACTCTTTGTGAAACAGGAACAAGGGCATAAAACACAGAAACAGCAAGTCTGAAGGGTCCTCCCGGGCCATCTAGTCTCACCCCGGCTCCAGCCGGCTCCGCTCACGACATGCCCACCATGTGCATGTCCAGCCTATTCTTGAACACCCGCACCGAAGGGGCCTCCACGACCTCTCGCGGAATGTGCAGACTTCACACCCAGAAAGCACATTGACTGCCTGCTCAGCACCTGGGCAAGGGTGCTATGGAGACACACAAGTGGTGCATTCAATGGGGCCGGGAACATGTCCACCCACGGATGGACGTAGAACGTGGGTGTTCCAGGCAAAACTCACCTTCAACCCTGGAGCTGCATTTTCATATTTTTTTCTCATGAAGGGCACAATTCTGACCAGCTAGGCAGCAAGTGCACCCTCCCTCCAGCCTCACGGCTGTGCCACAGCTTTGCGGCTGGACGTCCGAGCACAGAACTGGGGGTCTGAAGGTGTCTGAGTGGGCAGAAGAAAGGGCACGAGGCCAGATGCCTTCTACATGCCTTCAACTGGGTGCTCCCAGCTCGCCCACCTGTTTGAGTCTTCCAGTAGCCTCTTTCTTCATGCGGAGTGGCCGAAGCTGTGAAACCATCTAGCTCAGAGGTTGGCAACCTTTACCACTCAAAGAGCCATTTGGACCCGTTTCCCACACAGAAGAAAACACCGGGAGCCGCAAAACCCTTTTGACATCTAAGATGCAGATAACACTGCATAGATCGTTTTTTACCTTAATGCTATGTACATCTTCATTAGGATTTAGCTGCAGCTCTTGTTCAGTCACTAAAAACTGTTATTTTTAATCTTACTTTATAAACTAGTAGGACTCCTTTCATATATTTTTATATTGTTATTTTTGTATTTTATGTTGTGAGCCGCCCCGAGGCTTCGGTGGATGGGGCGGCATAGAAATGTTTAAATAAATAAATAAATAAAATATTTTGAATAGGAGAACAGCTTCCTGAAGAGTCAAAGTCAGTGCTAAAGGGCTGTATGCATTAAACAGCAAACCCCATAAGTTCGTCAGCAGTAAAAGCAAATGACTCTACCCACGTATCATTAAACGTTTGGTTTTCTTCAGAAACTTTTCTTTTCTTAGATTTATCCACGGTTGGCCTGGGGTGTGTGGGGAGCTCAGTAAATCGGCACAGGTCCGCAGATTGGAGGCTGTGCCAGAGATATAGGTGTGTTTAGTGACTGGTTAGCAGATCAACAGTCAAGTGCTGTGAATTGTGACAGGTCCCAAGCGCAGCTTTTAACATTCCGATGAAGGAGATTGCATCGGGACAAAGAGAACCCTTTCAGCAGCGTTCCGTTTCGTGGAACATGAGAGCCTGCAGGAAGCGGGTTCCACTCTTTCCCTGCACGACAGCAGCGCTGCCTTCCTGAGAGGAGCTTCGAGCAGATCGGCGGCTGTGCTGGCCCGTGTTTTGGGCGACGGAGCCGCAGCAGAGGGGTTCAAGAGCCACGTGTGGCTCCGGAGCTGCGGGTTGCCGACCCCTGGCCTAGCTGAACACCCTGAAAAAGGCAGGGAAGGAATCTGCCCAAATCTTGCAGGAGGAGATTTGAAGGCTGGCAACGGGCACGGAGGTTGGCGTCCGGTTCTGCGGACCAGCACAGTGCCTCCAGTCCCGTCTGATGCCAAAATAAAAATGTTTTAATAAATAATAAATAATAAAATCACAAATGCCAGCGATCCAACCTCTTTCCTGCCTTCTTCTCCACTGCCACTCGGCCTTCGCAGAAATGCCCATTGCTCTGCTTCTTGAAGCTCTGACTTTCACGTGTGATGGATTCTAAAAGGGCACCTGCTACCTCGAACTTGCTGAGAGTTTCATTAGGAAATACCTCTCAGAAAATGCATTTTTTCGAATGGGGGGTGAAGGGAGGGAAGGAGGGAGGGACACAAGCTGAGGTGAGCATTCTTCCCAGACAGGTTGCTGGGGGTTTAAGGTGGCTTATTCACTGCCGTCGGCAGAGCATGGCCTTCGTGGATTTTAGCAGCCACAAAGCCTGAAAGATTAGAATGGAGTGCAGGAAAAAGGGCACCAGGTAGAGGCCACATCCTCTGACCGGAGGCTGAGATGCAAAGGTCAAGAGCGCAGCTTGTCAGACACAGCGGTTGCCTCTAATCTGTCACGCCTGCTCTGCTCGGCCCCGGGAGAGGCGCCGATACTGCCGCACATGGGAGACCCGTTCAGGCTGGCTGCTTTGCAGAGAAGAGCCCCCGGCTGTGGCAAGGGCTGGAGCCGGCCTTCCTCACCTGCAGCAATGGCCTTCTCAGCCGGACCGCCCCACAGAGACACGTGAAAGGGGGACAGATTTATTTATTTTACTGAATTTCTTCCAAAGAACCCAGTGTGGCTTATACAATTCTCTTCCCGCTGGAGGAGGATAGATGCTGGAGAGTTAAGGGTTAATGCAGCTCCCCACCGTATCTTTTTTGGCATTGCCAAAAAAGACCTAAAACTTCTTCCATTGTTGGGGGGTGATTTGAGTCCGGCTGCATATAACGGACGCATTTGTGTTCTTTGGGATGATTTGGCTGAGAAAGGAATTGGCCAGCTTCGCTTCCAAGGAATATAAACAGAAGCTAGAAATTATGGCGAAATGGACACAGATAGGAATAAATCGCCACATGTGAATCGGAAGGCTCAGTTCTGGGACCTGAAACATTTACATGCCTAGAAACACCCCCAACAAGAGAGTCCCTAAGCTTGGCAGACCAGTCTTTCTCGATGTGACATGCTCCACTGACCGTGTTGGCTGGAGATAATGGTAATTATAGCCCAACACATCCAGGGGACATCAGGCTGGGCTCAGCTTTGTTGACTGCATTCACACAAGACAATAACCCCCACTCAAGGGGGACAGGACAGTTCCTAAAATTCCTAGAGCAATTCTTGGGTTGCCTCGAGGGTGAAACTTGTCTGTAGCTTGTGAGCTGAACTATGTGGTTAGCAATATTATTATTATTATTATTATTATTATTATTATTATTATTATTATTATTAGAACATTTCTATGCCGCCCCTTGCCGAAGCCTCGGGGCGGCTTACAAACACAATAAAATACAATAAAATACAAAAATAACAATATAAAATTAAAATCCCCCAGTACAGTCCTTGCTGGACTGACCCACTGCAGAAAGAGGGAGAATTGGATGCCTGAATGTTCTCTCCAGGCAGGGAGCACGTGCAAGGGAGAAACGTTCAAGTCCAGGCTTTTCCCAAGGACATGCTCCTTAATTTCTCTTTTAAGGAGAGCTTCATTTGGTTATCAAAGGGTAGTTGAGCTATTTATTTATTGCTTTTATAGACTGTCCATCTACTGGCGTCTCGGGATGGTTTACCAGAACCCCACTGAGTGGTTTGCCCTGTGATTTTGGCTGCACTCGAAGACAGATGGAAGTTCCTCCACGGTGAGCACTCACGTTCTCTCGCACCAGGTTATAGGGGATGGACTTTCTCCTCCGCTGGGAAGGAGTGCGGAAATGCCTCTCGATGCCCTCCCCTCCACCCACTTCACAGTGAGGGAATTTTGTAGAAGAGATTCCTTACCATCCTGGTTACCCCATTCCCAGTCGGGGCCGCGAACCACTTTCGCACCCTGGAAGGTCCCCTTTAATGCGATGCGGTTCAAGTTCTGCCGTGGACTCACGGTGACTCTACAAGAGGGGAGGGAACAGAGAGTAAGTGACACCTTTTAACTCAAGTGGTCTATCCATAAATTACTTCCCTGCCCCGTATCACAGGATCAATGAATAGAAGCCCCGGAAGGGGCCAAGAAGGCCACCAGGTCCGGCCGCCTGCTTGGCACAGGACTCCGCTCAAGCCACCCCTCCCAGGTGGCTGTCCAGGTGCATCCTGGACGCCTCCAGTGTGGGAGAGCCCACTGGCTCCACTGCTGCACTGATCCAACAGTCAGGAAGTCCCAGCTCCCTAGCCATTATTCCATGCCCAGCACTCGGGAATGATGGAGAAGAGATCCTGGCCTTTCTCTGTGGCGCAGCCCCTCAGGTGAAAAGTACTATCTCCATTCCTCCATTTTCTGCAAGCTAAACATGCCCAGTTCTTTCCGCTGCACCTCAAAAAGCTTTGCTTTCCATCCCTGGATCGCCCTTGCTGTCCTCCTCTGAACCCTTCCCACCTTGTCTGCATCCTGCTTCAACTTAGGTGCCCAGAACTGGAGTCTAATAAAAGTCTCTGGACAGCTTACAAAAAGCAAATTAATCCTCTTCTTCTCCCCTTTGTACCTTCACAACAACCTTGCGAGGCAGGGGAGTTTGAGAGTCAGTGACTGCTCCAAAGACGCCTACTGAACTTCTGGAAACCCGGATTTCCCCGTCTCAGCCCAACACTGACTTCTCCTTACAGTTTTGTTTCAGAGGCGATGCTCCATTCAGATTAAGTCACACGAGTGTTAGTATTGCATAGCAAAATTATGATCACTATTTCTTGCACAGATAGGCATGCAGCCAGAGCACCTCAGCATTAGATTCTGGTACATAAGAATTACACATGCAGGATTCCCCATCAATGTCAGGCGCCTGAGGTCCGTGTTACCGCCAGTCCAAGGATACAGGAATCTGCCTTAACCGAGGTCATGCATTCCAGTGGTCCATCAAATCACAGCCTTGTCTGCAGCAGGGCTAGGCAGCCCAAGGCAGCTCATCAGACGTGGGCTTCGACTCTCAGCAACCCTGCCCATTGGTCACGCTGAGAAGGGTGTCAAGCAGCTGTCCAAAACATCTGGAGACCCACCTTCTGCCCAGCTCCCATCAGCAGCACTAACTCTCCAGGGCTGCTAGACAGATGCATTCCTAGATTTACCAGAAGCCAGAAATCAAACCTTTCTGCACAGCGTAAACTGTACGCCGTTGCTGGAAACATGGGTCATTTTATCATCTGAACCCAGCTGAGACAGACAAACCACGGCGAACAACCCACAACTCAACCTGATAATCCATGGCTTCTCTTCATGGTTAAGAAGCCATGTTTGTTTGTGCAGTTGGGTCCACACAACTCAATAACCCAACTCCCGAGTACTGGCTGCTGTCTGAATGCAGCTGATGCAGATTAAATGGAGAAACAGTCTAACCTGGCAGGCAACTCCTCTGTCTCTTCCCACTGAGCCAAAGCTCTCCCCTAATTTCTACAGCTAAGAAAGAAACCTAATGGAAAGCAGCTTTTAAAAAGTGTTTTAAATTGTGGGATTCATAAAGTAAAACCCTCACCATTTTATCAATAAAATCTGTGACAGCAACTATTTTTAAATACACCGTTGTACAGGAAGCATTCATAATGCTGAGACCCAAAAATCAAGACACTGAAAATCAAGAGCTAAATTCAAGAGCTAAAAATACGACCTACTAACATTCATCAGTCAAAGGCACGCCTACTTGCCTACTGAGGCAAAGAACGCACACCGTACCCACATTATAGTGAAGGTGGGATTCGACGTCTGGTTGAAGGAACTCCCAATGCCCATAACGCTCACAGCGATTCCTCATGCGGTGCTTTTTCCGCCCCGTCCAAAGGTTTTCCCCAACACAAGCCTTCCGCTGGTCCCCGAGGCAAGGCTGACGGAGGATCCGAGGCTATCCGAGGCTCCTGCTTGTGCGCTGGGGGGGGTATCCAGCTGTGATCCCCAAGCCCATGTCTGTCCGCACCTGGCTGCTCTTTGACAGAGCACCGGGACGCCGCGATGGGTGCAGGAAAGGCAGCATTATCCGCAAGCGCTGTATTTTGCCCACCTGGAACCGTGCGCAACGGCAGGTGCAAGCCTGGGCCAGAAAGCCCTTCCACACATCAGGAGGATGGGTGCCCTCTCACATCCTGCAGAACTAGCTCCTTCGCTGCCTGTGCCTGGGCTGGTGTGTGCCTGATGGGTCTTAGGAAAGCGGGAGCAGATTTATTTACACACATGCCAGGCTAATCAGAGGCTTTTCATAATCCAGACGGGAAGGCGATGCTTGAAGGGCAGGGACTCTTCGAAGGGCAACCCAGTTCCACGCTCGTTTCCGAGGAACTAAGTGCAAGGAAGAGACACTTAACTGCTGGGGGTATGGAAGGAAAGCGCCACAGTTCCACAACCATAACTCCAGTCCTGCAACAATGCGACGGATCCTGCCTCCGAGGAACTCACCTCTGTGAGTTATTTCCACAACGACCTTGTAAGGTAGGTCAAGCCGACTGCTTACCCAGTGACCTTTGTGGCAGCTGGGAAAGTAGAATTTGGATCCCTGGTGTCTTAGTCCATTTATTTTGCTGGGTGCCAAACAGGTGTGCTTGGAGATACTTATAGCATTAGCCCGCTACTGAATCTGATTGAGCCGTTCTTCAGTAAGTCCAAAAGCGGATGTGAACAGCCGGACCCTCAGCCTGGGACCTGTCTCTGAGCCTTCTGGGCTGGGGATCTCCCCCTCAAGGACCTTCCACTCGCTCCCCCCCTTTCCCCCAACCATGGATTGTTCCCTATTTTCCTAGCATTGCTGCAATTTCTCTTCCCCGTTTTGGCGGATGGAAATGCCTCTCTCCATGTCAGTCCCCATGCCAGGGGGCTGTGTATCCACTCTGGGTTTTGGACTGAACTCAAGGAGTTAGCCCTCATTCTGAACCTGTTTTGGGGACAGGGAGCTCCTTGCAAGAGTGGTTAACACTGCTCAATCTATTATTTTTATTTTTTGCTTTTGGTTGCAGCCACTTTGCTTTTGCCCAGGATGCACCCTGCCAAACATCAAGTTTGGTCCTGGGGCTGAACTAAGCCATACTGCCATCCCAGAACTGGGGAAATGCAGGTTCAAATCCCAAGAACACTGTGCAATTGCACTTTCAAATTCCTATTTGGGTTGAAGAGGACTAGAAACTTGTCCCTTCAACAGAATGTCAAGAATCCAAGATCCCCAGGAGGCCAAATTGCTCTGCCCACTACTACAGCTCTGCTCAGTTTTCCAAGCAATGTTGTGGGCAGCGGGGGGTGCTTCCCTTTCCTCCCCACCTCCCAGGACCACCTTATGCCACAGAGATGGGGCACAGTTCCATGGCAAAGCTCCTGGTTTAGTGTCCAGCACCTCCAGGTATGGCTGGGAAACCCGTACCCAGAGAGGCGATTCACAGCCAGACGGTCCAGCTTGGACCACAAACCCAGTTTTCATATTCACAGGCCAAAACCCAGGGCGCTCTCCTGGCCCGGCGAACTCTGCTGTCGGCTGATGCACCTGGATGGAGCTGCATGCAGCCAGATGGGCCCAAAGACACTAAGCCCCGGCTGGGCGGCTTCCAACGGGGGCTGAAGAGGAAATCCTCAGGGCTGTCTGCAGGTGACTGGCCCAGGAGTCAAGATGTCAAGCCTCTTTCAGGGCACCGACCTGTTCCAGACGAGGAGCCTTCAGTCAGGATACTGCAGAATTAAGAACATGTTCAAGCCCGGCTCAAGCTCAGTGGTCGAATTAAGCATACGCTAAAACGGCACAGAGCACAGTCACCTCCGGAATGGGGCCGAATTCAGGGCAGGCAAATTATTTTAAAGGATAGGCCCAGTTAAATCACTGATTTTCCCCTGGAGGTCCGTCTAAACTGTTTACTCCTGCTGGCTGAGCAGAAAACACTATTAAGAAATATTTAAATTTTACTTTCTTCAACACAGCAGATTTTATCTACATGTCATGTGTGTTTAGGCATCTCTCTTCTTCGCTAACATTTTCATGTCGACGCTGTTCCTACGCGCAGGCGGATGAGCTGAGGGCATGCTTCTTTTTAACTGCAGGCTTATTTGGTTCTCCTCTTCCTCCCAGGACATGGTTCTGAAAGCGTTGGTCAAATTGACGCACTGGCGGTTCACGCTGCCAAAGGAAGTGCAGACTAGTCATCCAAAGCTGAAGGAAGAATAACGGGTTTGCATGGTGTCTTTTCTGGGCCACGAGCCTTGCTTGGAGGCAGACCCATTGAATTCAACAGGACTTCTCCCCTGGTAAGTACATATAGCACAAACCTCAGACTCCAATCTGGACCCTCTGGGTTTGTCCAAGGACCACGAGGCAAACGTGGACGGCACCAAAACTGAACATGCTGGTCCAATTTTGCCTTCAGAAGCAAGGCACTAAGAACCAGAAGCCTCCGGATTTGCAGCTATACGAAATTCTGTTCCAAACAGAAATCTAAAGATAGGATATAACCCCGTTAAAGAAAACAAAATAATTCCTTTTCACGGGCAGCCAAAAGTCACCTGACTAATTCAGACAAACAAAACGAAAAGCATTCCCTCGGTTATCTAAATTGCTTCCATAAATAAGATCTGAAGAGGTCGTATGATCCAGGGGTAGGAAATCCGGTGCTCTGAGTTGTTCAGACTACAGCTCCCATGATTACCAACCATTGGCCATACCGGCTGGGGCTAATGGGAGCTGTACTCCTATGAAGGCACTATGCTTCCATCTGCAAAATCTGAACTTCCAACCCATATGCTTAATTCCAAGTTGTGGGACTGTTCACAAATTCCATTGCTCATCTTTCAATTTTCTTCTTTTCTCTGGCCCAAAGCAAGCCGATAACAGATGGCGCGGGAGGATTCTGAATTCAAAGCGGATGCTGCAGGCACGCCTGTTCTCAGCATCGAATTTGTCCTGCAGGGCCAATGTCATTTTATGTTCGGCAATTTCCTCCTAAA